CATCTCGTTTGTTTTTCAACTCTTCGATGTCCTGGTTGTTACTTTCTGATTTTGGCATTTTTTTTTTATCAAAGAGTTTTAAATTTAATTTATAATTAATTAGTTTTTATTTTTTTTTGTTATTTTATGTATGTAAATGTGTACAAACAAATTTTGTTTTTAAATTTATTAAATTTAAATAATAATAACCAACGAGAGGAAAAAGCTGAACGCAAGCAGTGTAGGGGAGTTATTTAAAATGAATTAAGGAATTAATTCAATTATTTTAATTAATTTATTTTAATAATTCAATATAATATGCCGAGCGCACGTAGTGTAGGGGGGCACACGCCAAGCTCAAACACCGAAAAACGAACAAACGTTTAGGCAGCGGCAACGCTTGCACCGTTCCAGCGATCGAAAACGAAAACGACGAAAGAGAACTCGAAAGAACGGGCTGCGCTGTCTGTGTGTGTGTGTATGAGTTTACGGCTGGCGGTGCTCAACGCAATGCTAACGGAGGATGATGCACTGACCGATAACTAAGGGCAACGAATATATAAACCTGACGCTTAAAAGCGCGGAAAATGGCGAAAAGCGAGGGAAGAATATGCGCGGCAGAAAATTTGCCGGGGATTTAATTCTGGAATTATAACTTTTCACAATTCTCAACTTTTACCTTTTTAATTTTTTGCAAAGCTATAATTGGACGAGAAATGGGGGAATTTTATTTTTTTAAAAAAACCAGGATGTCGACAAATATTTATTTGATTTTGGTCCAAAGCGATTCACTTATGTATGTACAATTCGAAATATATATATGTATGGATGTATGTATGTATCAGAATTATAATCGTTAGTACATGCAAGTTGTATTTATTTCTTGGTTAGAATTGCTGCGGCAACAAGAACTTTTGGTCCAGTTAACGGCGAACTGCAGCGGTCCAGCGGCAGCAACGACGAATTAAAGTATATAGACAGGAACTGGCGACAAGCAGCGGCAACAACAACTTCACTGTTTTAAAAGCCGGCGCGATTTATTTGTTTTTTATTTTGTTTGTTTCACCAAAAAAAATAACACTCGAGTTCCACTGCAAATCACGTCGGGTACGGTTTTGTATTAACAACGCGAAACTTGTGACTGCAGGGAAAAATTCGGCTTCATTTTTTGGCGACGAAGCGACGAAAGGGAGTTTGCTTAATGAGGTTAATATAACAACTGACTTTTAGTTTCAATATATAAACGCTTAAGCCTAACTTAACGAAGGGGGCGAGAGACGGGGCCAATTCGAGAGAGCGATTAAATCTTTATTGCGCTCCCGCTCCCGCCTTACACTATTAAACAAATTAAAAAACGCAAAGTGCGCGAACACCCTGGGAAATAGTGGTCGAATGTTGGAATGACATACCTTGTTGAACTCGTTACAAAATTTCCAACAAAGTGTCATTTACAGAAAAAAAACACTTAAACAATTTTTTCGAAAAGAAATCATGTCCCTCACCCCATTACGACAAGGCCCAAATCCGGATAGTATCAGCTCGATTTTTCGGTTTTTCAATCAAAGGTCGAATGGCATACCTTGTTGAATTTATTACAAAAATTTCCAGGAAAGTGTCATTTACAGAAAAAAAATCATTTGAAAATTTTTTCGAAAAAATTGACCGGCCGGTCAATTAAGACGAATCCCTCTACCCCCTTACTATCCGGCCCCCTCCCAAGGTATCCTCCCGGCTCGGCCTCGCCCGAAGGTCCAGCCCGGTGGATTTTCCGCCCTTGACGCGAGATCCAGGACTTCAAAGCCCTTAAAGTATCCTCCCGGTTCGGCCTTGCCCGAAGGTCCAGCCCGGTGGATTTTCCGCCCTTGACGCGAGATCCAGGACTTTAACGTCCGCAAAGTATCCCCCCGGCTCGTCCTCGCCCGAAGGTCCAGCCCGGTGAACTTTTCGCCCTTGACGCGAAACATGACAAGGGTTCTACACGTTTTCGTCCACACAAATAAGAACCTTCGGTGCAGACTCCCCATCAAAATCATCCGTTCATCCTGTAGAACGGAACTCTCTAGTCCGGTGTTTCGGTGATTTAAAAATTTCTTGTAAAGGACTTTTAATGGAGGTTTGAGTATGCTCAAGAAGTTCTAGCCTAACTGTCAACTCCGCGGACCCACACAGGCAAATCGGGTCTTTAGCTAGCTAAATATCCAGGCGCTTTAAGCTATTGTACACCGATTCGGCTTTGCACTTCAGAAACTGCACTTAATTTTCAGCCGTCATAATATTATGGTCTGCTACTGTGTTGCCTTCGTCGGAACTCATCTGCGCGTATGTATTTGTATAAAGCAAACCGAAACGCACTGCACAACTCGAGAGTTTACAGTTCAAATTGTCAGAAGTCTCCGTTTTTGTTGTAACGGCAAGAAAGTACAGTCACCAGTTGGCGAGGCACTGTGAATTAACGATCTATGATATCAAACAAAATAACCACCGCCCTATATCTATATAAGCCCTTGCAAAATATACCGATAATTATGCAATTATATCAAATACGATATTTTATTAGGACCAGCTTAAAGCGGAACCAGCATAATGTAACAGTTGTTTTGTTGTCTTCTTTGTGCATTGTTTCTTTTGCACAAGCGAATTTTCACAAACTTGAATTTAAAGATCTCGCCGGGGCCTCCAAGTGTTGAGCTAACAAGCCTTTTTTGTCAGCTATTATAAACAAATCACAAGGCGAGATAAATTCAATACTTCAGCTTATTAACGTTTATATGTATACAAGGGCTACGGGCCTTGCGAACACCGCAGCTTGCAATCAACAACAACAAAAAGTATGCGCTGGCGACGGACCGTAGGCGTTGAGAGGCGGGCTCAGAAAGACTAGTCCAGTTAATAGAGAGATAAGTGGAGCCGATTAGAAATGAGTGATTCTGACTCTCTCTTTAGTTGCAGTAGCTTGCCGCTGCGCTCATCAGAGCCATTAAAGAAAAAAAATCATTTGAAAAATTTTTCCGAAAAAAAATATGACCCCCACCCTTATGACAAAGCCAAAATCCGAAGAAAATCACCTCGATTTTTCGGTTTTTTAATCAAAACCGTGGGAAAATTCCAACAAAGTGTCATTTACAGAAAAAAAAATTATTTAAAAAATTTTTTCGAAAAAAAACATGACCCCACCCTTATGACTACGCCAAAATCCAAAGCAAATCACCTCTATTTTTCGGTTTTTTAATCAAAACCCTGGGAAATAGTGGTCGAATGTTGGAAAGGCATACCTTGTTGACTTCGTTACAAAATTTCCAACAAAGTGTTATTTACAGAAAAAAAACAAGAGAGAACGCTATAGTCGGGTGCCCCGACTATCAGATACCCGTTACTCAGGTAAAGGGAGTGCGAGGGAGATGGAGATAGAAACTTTGATCACGCATAACTTTTTAACGAATGGTCCGATTTGAAAAATTTCTTCTACATTTCGATAGGTATTGATAAACACAATAAAACTGCATTTTTACTTTTCCGAAATATTTAAATTTTTAAAATCGTATATAAGCGATTGTGGGCGTTAAAGGGGGCGTGGCACCTTTTTGAAATAAACTTGCGCTGCGTAGGAACTCCTAGAATCTGCATGCAAAATGCCAATCTTCTAGCTTTTATAGTTTCCGAGATCTCAGCGTTCATACGGACAGACAGACGGACAGACGGACAGACAGACGGACAGACGGACATGGCTAGATCGACTCGGCTAGTGATCCTGAACAAGAATATATATACTTTATAGGGTCGGAAACGCTTCCTTCTAGCTGTTACATACTTTTGCACGAATACAATATACCCTTTTACTCTACGAGTAACGGGTATAATCATATTATGACAAGGCCCAAATCCGGATACTATCAACTCGATTTTTTGGTTTTTAAGACAAAGCCCTGGGAAATAGTGGTCGAATGTTGGAATTCGTTTCAAAATTTCCAACAAAGTGTCACTTACAGAAAAAAAATCATTTGAAACATTTTTTCAAAAAAAAACATGACCCCCACCCTTATGACAGAGCCAAAATCCGAAGAAAATCACCTCGATTTTTCGGTTTTTTAATCAAAACCCTGTGAAATAGTGGTCAAATGTTGGAATGGCATACCTTTGTTGAATTCGTTACAAAATTTTCAACAAAGTGTCATTTACGGAAAAAAAAATCATATTAAAAATTTTTTCGAAAAGAAATCATCTCCCCCATTACATTATGACAAGGCCCAAATCCGGATAATATCAGCTCGATTTTTCGGTTTTCTAATCCAAGGTCGAAAGTGGGAATGGCATACCTTGTTGAATTTATTACAAAATTTCCAAAGACGTGTCATTTACAGAAAAAAAAATCATTTGAAATTTTTTTTCGAAAAAAAAACATGACCCCCACTCTTATGACAAAGCCAAAATCCGAAGAGAATCACCGCGATTTTTGTGTTTTTTAATAAAAAACCCTGGGAACTAGTGGTCGAATGTTGGAATGGCATACCTCTATGAATTCGTTAGAAAATTTCCAACAAAATGTCATTTAAAGAAAAAAAAATCATTTGAAAAATTTTTTCGAAAAAAAACATGATCCCCACCCCTATGACAAAGCCAAAATCCGAAAAAAATCACCTCGATTTTTCGGTTTTTTAATCAAAACCCTGGGAAATAGTGGTCGAATGTTGGAATGGCATACCTTGTTGAATTCGTTACAAAATTTCCAACAAAGTGTCTGTAGAAAATCGAAACGAAAATAATTAATTATTAATATTTGAGAATGCCGAAAAGTGAAAAAACACAAGACTGGCCGATTCGATCTTCAAAATTCCACTACTTTATTGTGCCCAGCAGAGCAGTTTTGTGAGAGCCTTTGCAGGCCCGCTGAATTTGATTTTAGCATTGGCGCTGAGCATAACGCAGTTGTGCTCTCTTAAGCTGTTACTTATGTCTATCTTAACATAAACTTCATAATTTGCGTTCTGCGGTTCAACATTCCGGCCACCTTGAAGGACCTGCCTTCAATATAATGGGAGTGCAGCCAGCTTCTGGATAGGACGCTTAAATACGTCTGTAGCGGTCTTGATTTCGGCCACTCGAATTTTGCCATCGGCCCCTGCCACCACGCTGATGACCCTGCCGGTAATCCAACGCTGGGGTGGAGTGTTGTCCTCGTGGATGATTACCAAGGCTCCGACCTCCAGATTGGGCGATGTAGTTTGCCACTTGGTTTTGCGCTGAAGGCTGTGGACATATTCCTTGGACCACGCCTGCCAGAACCGCTGTCTGAGCGTGGATAGCAGTTGCCACCTCTTTGAGAACCTCAAACCTCTGGTCGGTGCGTCTGGCTCTAATCCTTGCGGCAGCGAACGAAGGGACTGCCCGATTAGCAGGTGCCCTGGAGTGAGCGCCTCCCCCTCGTTGGGATCGGTGCTGGTTGGAGTTAGAGGCCGGGAATTGAGCACGGCCTCGGTGTCCGCCAGATAAGCCCTGACCTCGGCTTCGGTTAGGGACGCGTCTGCGACTTGACGCACGAGAATTTCTTTCGCTGACTTCTCGGCCACCTCCCACAAACCGCCGAAGTGCGGTGCTCGTGGTGCTCGACGAACTGTTGAAACTGCGACTGCTGATCCTCGAGGGCCCTCTGAAGACTTCTCAGCTCATTCCTGGCTCCCACGAAGTTCGTCGTGTTGTCGGAATGTACTCGATGCGGTACGCCACGTCTTGCGATGAAGCTTTTAAAGGCCAAAAGAAAAGAGTCAGTCGACAAATTTGTAACGAATTCCAGCTGAACAGCCTTGGAAGCAAAACAGACAAATACAGCAATATACATCTTAATGGGGGGCCGTCCTCGCATACGCAACGATACATTGATAGGACCAAACAAATCTACGCCCCAAATATGAAATGGCCTTACGGATTCGAACTTATCTGCAGGCAGATTTCCCATAATTTGGTTCATCAGAACAGGCTTATATCTAAAACAATGGATGCATTTTCGAACCACCCGAGTGCATTCTCTGCGAGCATTTATTACCCAGATTTCTTGCCGGAGAAGACCGATCATCGTTTTTGCATTTGCGTGAAAATTTCTCAAATGCCAATTTCGGAGATACAAATCAACAATTTGGTTCTTACCAGGGAGTAATATCGAAAATGTATCATTTTCTGAAATAGGTGCATGCAAGAGTCTACCTCCCACCCAAATTAGCGAAAATCGTCTACTAGCTTCAGAAAACTTTTGTATGAAAGGCGTCATGATCTGCAAACCTGGTTGTAAAACGTGTCCTTTTTTAATTTTCTTGTACTCTTCTATAAAGACATTTTTATACCCGTTACTCGTAGAGTAAAAGTATGTAACAGGTAGAAGGAAGCGTTTCCGACCCTATAAAGTATATATATTCTTGTTCAGGATCACTAGCCGAGTCGATCTAGCCATGTCCGTCTGTCCGTCTGTCTGTCTGTCTGTCCGTCTGTCTGTCCGTATGAACGCTGAGATCTCGGAAACTATAAAAGCTAGAAGATTGGCATTTTGCATGTAGATTTTAGGAGTTCCTACGCAGCGCAAGTTTGTTTAAAAATTGTGCCACGCCCTCTCTGACGCCCACAAGCCACAAGCTGTGGCCACAGTTTTGATGCTATTATGAAAATTTTTATTTTTTATTTATTTATTTATTTATTTTTTTTTTTTGCGCGCGGAGTCCCACGGCCCACTTACCCGCCCAACCGACCGAGGGGCGCAGCCGTGTATCGTACGGCACGATTCGCGATAGGATAGACGCGAGATAGGAAAATAAAGGTAAAGGTCCGGGGAAAAAAGTAATAGTTAGATCAATCTTGTGCCAATGAAGCAAGTATTAATCGTTTTAGGAGCGGCAGAGAGTCAAGATTTGATATTACAGGAAAAAGTCTATTATAGTCAGAACATAATACTCTGAAAGGCTCATGCAAGGCATAGTTAGATCTACAATGATTTAAAATTAGGGGAATATAATTTCTAGTTAATCTACTTGGCACAGAAAAGTTTAGCCGACTTAACAAGTCGGGGCAGTCAATATCACCATGTATAAGGTTATAAATAAAGATAGTACCAAGCATCGTTCTACGGTTGGCTAGGGATGGTAAATTAATCAAAAGAAGTCTACTAGAATAAGAAGGTAAGATAAGATTTGCATCCCAGTTTAGGCGCCGTAAAGCAAAAAGAAGGAAGTTTTTTTGTACAGATTCAATACGACCAATATGTATTCCGTATTGTGGACTCCAGACGGGAGACCCATACTCCAGAATCGGACGGACTAGCGAAATAAATAAAGTTTTAGTCAAATAAGGATCATCGAATTCTTTTGACCACCTTTTAATAAATCCAAGCACTCCTCTGGCTTTATTAACCATGGACGAAATGTGATTAGAAAATTTTAGTTTAGGGTCCAAGAGAACGCCAAGATCGTTTACAAGAGTTATTCTATCCAAAGAGCTGCCACTTAACGTGTAAGTCGAGAATATCGGATTGGCCCGATAAAAAGTCATCAGCTTGCACTTGGAGCCGTTTAAATTTAGTAAATTATCTCGGCACCAGTTTTGAAAATTATCTAGATCGGATTGCAAGTCTAAATGGCAGGAAATGTCCTTATACTGCAGGCACAACTTAACATCATCTGCGTACATAAGTACGCGAGAATAACTTATAATTGAGGGAAGATCGTTAATAAATAATGTAAAAAGTAACGGACCCAGATGGCTCCCTTGTGGGACACCGGAGGTAACACGGAGAATTTCAGAAATTGAATTTTTAAAAAGGACCCTTTGTGACCTGCCATTTAGATAACTTGAAATCCATTTAAGCAGATCAACTGGAAAACCTAAAAGGTCAAGTTTATGAATAAGAAGTAAGTGATTTACAGAGTCAAATGCTTTACTAAAGTCAGTGTAAATGACATCTGTTTGAAAACTACTATTGAAGCCTTTTATCACAAATGTAGTGAGCTCTAGAAGGTTTGTAATTGTGGATCTACGTTTAATAAATCCGTGTTGACACGGAGAAATAATTGATCTGCAAAAGTGCTGCAAATGAGGAGTAATAATTTTTTCAAAAAGCTTAGGAATAGCTGACAATTTAGAAATACCTCTGTAGTTACTGGCTTCTAACTTGTTACCTTTTTTGAAAAGAGGAATAACAAATGATTCCTTCCAAATATTTGGGAATTGGGACGTTTCTAGAGATAAGGTAAACAACTTGTGAAGAGGTTTGCACAGGGCGTTAGCGCAATACCTAAGCACGCACCCAGGAATACCATCGGGCCCTGGCGAATGAACAGGCTTAATACGAAGAAGATCCAAAAGAAGAGAGCTTTCTGTTAAAGTGGGACAGAATATGAGGTTTGACTTGGGCATGGTGTAAGAATAAGGCTGAGATGAATAATCTAAAGTAGAGTAAGTCGTTTGAAAAAATTGGGCAAATATATCGGCTATTGCCTGATCTGTGGTTCCCGTCATGTTTTCGAACGACAGCGAGGAAGGAAAAGAATTAGATTTACGCTTGGTGTTAACAAAATTATAAAACTGTTTCGGGTCCTGAGAGAACTGGACCTTACAACGGTTTAAGTAACTATTATAACACTGAGCATTAAGCACGGTAAATCTTGACCGAGCACTTAGATATCTAGTAAAAACAGATTGAGAACCGGTATTTTTATATTTCCTAAAAAGTCTGGACTTTACATTTCTTAAGTGTGTCAACTCTTTGCTAAACCAAGGTGATTTATTGGAAGTTGACGGATAGTACCACGGAACACAGGAATTAAAAAATGAGTTTATTGCAGTATAAAAAACATTAACTGCATCGGACATATTATTGCATAAGTAAAGATCAGACCAATTAAAGCCAGAAATAAAATTATTAAGCCTCAGAAAGTCTGCCTTGCGAAAACAAAGTATTCGTTTGGATTTTTCTGATTTTTCTTCTATAACTCTACCCGTATCAAATGAAAGTTCGATTGTTGGGTGATATGGATCTTCAGGTTGCGTGAGTGGTGCTACTCTGGACAGAAACACACCTTCAGGATTCGATACAAAACACAAATCAAGTAGGCGACCTAATGAATTTCGAACATGGTTTACTTGAGATAGAGATATGTCAAGCAGGCCATCAATAAAATCATGTTGTGCTATAGGTAGTAAGACATTCGATCCATCCTCAGTGGACCAAGTAACTCCAGGTATATTAAAATCACCTAGAACTATCAACTGATCCCTATCGGAAAGCTTATTTGCAACGGACTTAATAACGGATAGGTGATTTAAATAATCAGGAAGTTCAGACAACGGCGGAATATAAGAGCAAGTTATGTATATAAAGTTACCAGGAAGCGATAACTTTACACAAATAAATTCAATGGTATTGAATTCATCAAAAAATAACTCCTCAGACGGGAAGTTTGAATCAACTCCAATTAAGACTCCACCTCCCCGTCTAGAGGGACGGTCATACCTATATATTGTGTACTTACCTGGAAAAACTTCGGAGCTAAAGATCTCCGGCTTTAACCAGGTTTCTGTGAACACAATAATATGAGATGCAAAGGAAAGGCTATCAGAATACAATTTAGTGAGTTTGCTACGCAAACCTCTTGCATTCTGATAGGAAAGAAGGAGGTTAGAAGTTAGTTTTTTGAAATTGGTACACTGGTTTGGCCTCGACTAGGAAGTTTTACTCCTACGGGCCCCTTCTTCTTTATCTTAGCCTCGAACTCTTTTACAACCATATTATCCGGCCAAAAGTCGCCCGAGCATATGGCTTCAAAAAGCTCGTTAGGGACAGTTATCTTGAAAGATGAAATGTCTCTAGCATAAGAAAACTTAAACTTTTCCACCTTTACACTATTACAATCGGCTTTAGTTTTGTCTTGTATATAAGACAATACATCAGAAGATGTTTGATCAGGGGAAAGCCGAGAAACGAAAATTTGTTTCTTTAGTGGAACCACTAAAAGGGATTTTGGTGGAGCAGACATTGTTTCTGCAAAACCAACTAGAGCCGGTTGTCCGGACTCAGTAGTCCCTTGTGGTGGTGATACTACATTCTGAGAGATAGGTGGATCCACTAATTGTGAAACCACTACGGACAAACCGGAATTCTTAGAAGTCCCTGGTTGCATGCATTCTGTAACGGATTGTTCGGATACCGAATCTTTTTTTAGCTGCTGATCTTAGCAACATTTGAGGGTTTGCTGAAATCAGCTGCTGATCCGCCGGAATGCTCTGTTGTTCTTTTGATTTCGGTTGCGGGGTGTTCCCCTTTTGCTCCTTACCACCAGCGGCCTTTTTGCGCTTAGGGGACTCTTCTAATAGCTTACGACTATTAAACTGCGAGTCCAGCGCAGATAGGAGATCATCAGCTCGGCGAAAACTATCTCTAGCCACTCCGAAACAGCTAATCAGTCCCATCAGGCCGCCTTTAGTTTGGCGCATGAACGATTTCATCTCGTTCGCAACCTCGACACAAGCGTCACAACAAAACTGCAAATTGGGCCCCTTTGAAAGGTCATCACTTGTCCGGCCAGTAAAACCGGCGCACTTGGTGTGCACCATATTTTCACACAGCCAGCAAGTCATATTAGACTGGTCAGCCCTGATTACGAGGCTGCATTTTTTGCAGAAGCAGACTAAATTTTTATTATTCATTTTATTTATTTACCACTGTACCAAGAAAGCGAAATTGAAATTTATAAGCGAGCAGTTATAAGTACCGCAAGAGCGCAGAAACTGCACGCTTAGAACTTTCAAAAGCAAAGAGAGCAAGAGAGCGGGAGCGTAAATAAGTTAAAGTGCATGCACAAAAGAGAAACAGCGTGGATATAAATAGGATAGAAAACACAGATAAGAATTACGAAAAACTAAAACAATTTATTAGTATCAATACAAAGTGCACTCGCGAAGCGAACGGAGTTTAAATTTATGTTTAAATAACCGAAAGAAAATTTAATGTTGTTTTTATAAAACCCACCGATGGGAATAAACGAAAACAAAATACAAAATTCGAAGCGCAGAAAAAAAACACGACCGTTCACTTTGAAAGTCAAAGACGATTTTGATATGTATTTGTTTCGTCAATACCTATCGATTGGCCTAATAAAAGTTTGCCACGCCCACTCTAACGCCCAAAAACACATTAAACGCTTAAGCCTGGCTAGCGCCTACATTTCTACATGGGGAAGATGGCGGAATACAATAGCGCCATCTATCGGATGATTTTGGAACAGCTGGCCAAGGTGCTCAACAGAGTCAACGTTAATTCTCGATAAGGATTTCTATTAAAGAAAATTGCGATGGTTTTCATTTGTCAATACCGAACTATATCCCAAGAACTAAGCAAATCAAATCAAGTTAGCCAAATTCGAGGTCTGAGTCAAACAATGGTGTATGTGTGTATGTATGTAAGCATATGTATTTACATTGTACACAGTTGCAATTGCCCGGCAATTATAATATTAAGTTGTTTAGCTGAGTAACGGGTATCTGATAGTCGAAGCACTCGACTATAGCGTTCTCTCTTGTTTTGGATGATTTCCATCAGTTTAAAAATGATAGTTGTAACTCTCTAGCAGTCAGACTAACTGATCTTTCTCGTGATTAAGCTAGGTTTAGAAATCTGTAAACGTATCCAAGAATGAGTTTGGGAAACGATGAGATACGAGTAATGAATTCAAACGGAGTTGATAGCTTGACGGCTGTACACACTTGGGCAGCTCTTTTTAACTCTGAGTTTTTTAATTCGGAAGGTATAGAAAAATGCGAGTTTTCTGATGACACATTTTCGTACAGAAATTTGGGACCTTTGAACCAGATGGACTCAGTCAATTCACCTACATCGCAGCCACGGGACGCAATGTCTGCTGGATTAAACTGCGAAGGGACATGTCGCCAGGATATATTTTCTGATAGATCTTGAATTGTGGCTACCCTGTTTGAAACAAAAACTGCAAGTGACGAAGGTTGAGACTTTATCCAATGTAAGGTTATTTCTGAGTCTGTCCAGAAATAAACACTCTCGATTTCACATTTGTCAAGAACTTGTTTGACGTAGCACCAAGAGTGTGGCGGCGCATAATTCAAGCCTTGGTATGGTTTTCGTTTTTAGTGGAGCCACTCTCGATTTCGCTGCTAGCAATCGACAATGAACCTGACCGTTTTCGATTGCTCGAATGTAAATGCAACATCCGTAAGCTTGGCTGGATGCATCTGCGAAACTTGAACGGCTGAGCACCCACTGGCAAACGTGTACCTAGGAATGGTGACTGCGTGAAGATTAAGTAGATTCTTCTTTAAGCTTTCCCAACTCGTATTTAACGACATCGGAATGGATTCATCCCATTCCAGTTGAAGTTGCCAAAGGCTTTGAAGAAGAATTTTAGATGTAAGGCCAATGGGGCACAGCAATCCCAAGGAATCAAAAAGCCGCGCGCTTACTGAAAGAATTGTACGTTTTGTGGGAGTCAATTTTGTTAAGCTCTCATCTAAATGAAATCGAAAGATGTGGCATCCACCGCATACCCAAGACTTTGGTCGAATCGGTATCATTGAAATTTAGGGATTTTTCAGTGTTGTTCCCTTTTTCTAGTTGTGGATTGTTTGAAAACCATTTAGACAGCTGGAAACCGCCACTATTGAGAATTTCTGACACTTGATTACACATCACGTTCAAGGTGTCAATTTCATCGGCTCCAGTAAGCATGTCATCCACATAAAAGTCGTTGCAAATTATGTAAGTTAACACACCCAGTTCCCACAATGACAAATTGTCAAGTTGCAAGCCATATCCGGTGGCCAACACGCGCAGTAAAGAAACCGCCGACTCTGCACTCCGAGGGCAGTTGCCCGGAGCCCGGTGAGAGCACTCGCGGAGCGAGTGATCGCCACCGGCCGGATATCTGCTGCTGACCTGGCGCTTTACTTCTGGCGCTGGGAACACTTACTCAGCGGATGATCGCCACCGGCCGGATACCAAGTGCTGGCCCGGCACTTTAGCGGCAGCGCTGCGACCAGACAAAAGCCTCGAGCCGCGGCCGGACCGGGACCTTAAGTTAGTCTAAATTTAGCCTTAGCTGTGTTTTGTAAATCAAGTCTTGTTTATCCTCTACCTTAACAGGTTTAGGAGTAATAAATAATAAACTTAATATCGCACCGTGTCTTTATTATCCTCTGCCTTAACAGGTTTAGGAGAAATAGGGATTAATTAAATACCAAATACCAAATCTAAATAATTTGTATGAACCAATTTCATGCTTATCCCTATTACGCACTCCAAGTTCTTGTAAGCTACGGATGGCTAAAAATGGAGCTGAAGACGTTCCGTAGGTGACTGTATTAAGACGAAATTTTTGGAGCTCATCAGATGGATTCTCGCGCTATACTATCAGTTGATAGTTACGATCTTCTTCTGCGAGACTTACTTGCCTATACATTTTCGATATATCTGCTGTTAAAGCGAATCGATTTAAACGAAATCTAACAAGTGATAATAACAGTTCCCTCTGTGTTTCAGTGGCCCACTGCATCGGGGCTGTTCACTGAGCTCTCCGAGCTTTCGCTCCCGCCTTTCTTGCGCTCACTCGCTCGCTTCTCGCAACGTCCGCGCTCCAGAGTGCGAGCTTCGGGTTTCCCATCCGAACTCCTCGGACGGCCGCTGCCGATCTCTCGCTCTCGCTTCAGCGGAGTAAAGCGGGCGGGAGCGCGGTTTTAGTTTTAATTAGTCTCATGTATGCAGCTGAATAAAGCACACTGAATTACACCACGACGCCCCCGACTTCTTCATTTTTTTCGTCTTCCTTTGCGTTTGCGCCGTGTGAATTATTTCTGCCAACCAAATCTTTTTGTGGAACATACATAAACGCATGCATGCCCATATCTCAATAAATATATTTTCTGCCTCCACATACAGGAACATAAAATAAAATAAATTCAAATCCACACGGGTGCGACCGTGATTGTTTTTTCTCCAAATTGCCGCAATTAACCGCCCCATCGGCTGTGTTATTATTGTTGCTGATTTTTTTCCCTTCGCTCTCTCTCCCGCGTCCCTCAAGCATGCACTGCGCTGCCGACGACATAACCCACTGAACATTTCTCCCGAACCAAAGCCAAGGTTTTTAATTCCACCGTTCCGGCTCCGCTCAAAAATAAGTATTTATAATTATAATTATTATTTAATTATAAAAATTATTAATTCATAATGTAAGGATGCTCTCTGGCCAGGATACAACTCTCAGTCGGTCACTGAGACATAGGGCTAGAGAGTAATGTTCGCGCGGCGAACGACGATTTTTGATCAATTATCCCGAAGTGTTCCAGGACCTTCGAGGTTACGATAACATCAGAACACCAAGTCCTTCCGGGACGGAAAATTCCACGGGATGGACCTTCGGGCGAGGCCGCAGCCGGATTATATCGTGGTTGGCCGAGATGTGTGGTGCTAGGGGTCAAGAATCCCACGGGCTGGACCTTCGGGCGAGGCCGCAGCCGGATTCTATTGTGGTTGGCCGAGACGCGTGGATCGAGGGGTCAAGAATCCACGGGCTGGACCTTCGGGCGAGGCCGCAGCCGGATTCTATTGTGGTTGGCCGAGACGCGTGGTTCGAGGGGTCAAGAATCCCACGGGCTGGACCTTCGGGCGAGGCCGCAGCCGGATTCTATCGTAGTTGACCGGCTGGAAGCAAGTTTGATTAGTCGGAAGGATTGGCCTTTCCGTTAAGATGTGGTATTAATAGGGGGCCGGTGAGAGGATATTCCGTCTCACCGTCGGAGTTAATAGGATACGAAGGGATCTGCCACTTCGCGGTAGGATATGAGGAGAGGATGCGTGAGAGGATCTTCCGTCTCGCCGCGGGGGTTAGTAGGGCACGAAGGGATCTGCCACTTCGCGGGGATGGGGATTAAGTAGGAGAATGAGGGGATCTTCCGCCTCACTACGCAGGCAGGTTAGTGGGTGAAATTCAGTAGATCAGGATAACGTGTATGTATATGGTGCAAATAATTTACCGCTTCCAATTGGGTCATCAGTCGCCAACGGCCTGAATCACACGGGGAACAAAGGGGTACGGGGTAAAAATAAAATGCATAACAATCCGGCTTGACGTTTCTTTTCGTACGAGTTCACTCAGTTTAATTCTTTGTTTTTAAAAACGTCCCTGTGTTTCACTGCGCCGATTACACTGATTCACTAACCTTATTTCCTACCGACCGCGTTCTCTTTCACACGTGTTTTCTTTATTTACTTTGTCCGCGTGCGCGACCGATCGTTTCGAAGTCCAAGAGCCGAGCCGTCCCGGAAACCGCCGTGTGACCCTCTCATCCTTTTGGACCTTTCTCACCCAGGAAGGTTTGGTATTCTCTCTATTTTCCAGTATTTTTCTCTATGGTTGCCACCTCGGGCGGGTGGTGCGTAACCAAACTAGACCTATTTTGGTCTTATACCCAAAAATCCATAAGATCGCTTAACCATTACTAAATTATAATACTTCATTTTATATCTCTTACATACTAATGGTAATAATGTGACACTTAGATAACTATTGTTTAAATATATATTGTGGCGGCCTAGCCGTCAGGCGGGATCGTCACACCCCCCCTTTCCTACCGGGAAATGATGATGAACCGCCCGTCGCTCTTCACGGTGACCACGGCCTCGGTGTCCGCCAGATAAGCCACGACCTCGGCTTCGGTTAGGGACGCGTCTGCGACTTGACGCACGAGAATTTCTTTCGCTGACTTCACGGCCACCTCCCACAAACCGCCGAAGTGCGGTGCTCGTGGTGGGATAAACCTCCACTCGACGCCCTTCTCCACGACGAACAGTTGAAACTGCGACTGCTGATTCTCGAGGGCCCTCTGAAGACTTCTCAGCTCGTTCCTGGCTCCCACGAAGTTCGTCGTGTTGTCGGAATGTACTCGATGCGGTACGCCACGTCTTGCGATGAAGCTTTTAAAGGCCAAAAGAAAAGAGTCAGTCGACAAATTTGTAACGAATTCCAGCTGAACAGCCTTGGAAGCAAAACAGACAAATACAGCAATATACATCTTAATGGGGGCCGTCCTCGAATACGCAACGATACATTGATAGGACCAAACAAATCTACGCCCCAAATATGAAATGGCCTTACGGATTCGAACTTATCCGCAGGCAGATTTCCCATAATTTGGTTCATCAGAACAGGCTTATATCTAAAACAATGGATGCATTTTCGAACCACCCGAGTGCATTCTCTGCGAGCATTTATTACCCGGATTTCTTGCCGAAGAAGACCGATCATCGTTTTTGCATTTGCGTGAAAATTTCTCAAATGCAAATTTCGGAGATACAAATCAACAATTTGGTTCTTACCAGGGAGTAATATCGAAAATTTATCATTTTCTGAAATAGGTGCATGCAAGAGTCTACCTCCCACCCAAATTAGCGAAAATCGTCTACCAGCTTCAGAAAACTTTTGTATGAAGGGCGTCATGATCTGCAAACTTGGTTGTAAAACGTGTCCTTTTTTAATTTTCTTGTACTCTTCTATAAAGACATTTTTATACCCGTTACTCGTAGAGTAAAAGGGTATATTGTTTTCGTGCAAAAGTATGTAACAGGTAGAAGGAAGCGTTTCCGACCCTATAAAGTATATATATTCTTGTTCAGGATCACTAGCCGAGTCGATCTAGCCATGTCCGTCTGTCCGTCTGTCTGTCTGTCTGTCCGTCTGTCTGTCCGTATGAACGCTGAGATCTCGGAAACTATAAAAGCTAGAAGATTGGCATTTTGCATGTAGATTTTAGGAGTTCCTACGCAGCGCAAGTTTGTTTGTTTCTACATGGGGAAGATGGCGGAATACAATAGCGCCATCTATCGGATGATTTTGGAACAGCTGGCCAAGGTGCTCAA